CACACACACACACACACACACACACACACACACTGCCTCACACACACACACGCACACACACACTGCCTCACACACACACACACACACACTGCCTCACAAACACACACACACTGCCTCACACACACACACACACACACACACACACACACACACACTGCCTCACACACACACACACACACACACACACACACACACACACACTGCCTCACACACACACACACACACACACACACACACACACACACACACAGTCCTGTGTTTCTAATCAGTGATCGCTCCTTTAATATCTGTGTTCATTTTGAAACTAAAATGAGGCTTAATAAGATAAATATACATGACGATGCCCTTTTGTAGAGCGCAGTGTTTTTCGACTCTAAATGTTAACAGAATTGAGATAATCACGAACAAAATAAGAGGTTCGGTTGTTGGTAGAATCACTGATTGTGATTTCCATTTTTGTTTTTAAAGTCTGACCTGCCGATTTAGATTTGGCCTGATTCAGATTTTCCCTCTATCTTTTTATAAAGAACTCTAATTGACGGCGAAACAAACATTTTTGTAATTTCTCCTTAAAGGGAATTCAATTTTATGTGTTTATTTAAAAAAAAATTCTTCAAACACAGCAGCTTCCTTGACCACCTCTCATTTTCCTATAAAGTACTTCACTCTCTTCAGCTACTTTTCCCACTGACCCCCGAAGGAATTACCAAACAGATGGTGAATGGACTTAAGCTTGTAGAGCGCTTTTCTAGTCTTCTGACTCCTCAAAGCTCTTTTACACCGCTGGTCACACCTACACATTCACACACTGATGGTAGAGGCTGCTGTGTAACGTCTCCATCAGAAGTCACTAATCCCATTCATACACATTCATACACCGCCAACGAAGCAGTGGGAGCAACTTCGGGTTAAGTGTCTTGCACAAGGACTCTTTCCTATCCGTCTTTCTGTGTCTCGCCTCCTCTGTGAACGATGTTTGTGGCTCCACAGAGTATTTGAATCTTGTTGTTCATACATTAATTATCAATATGCTTTCATTTATAACACTTTCTGTGAATTGATCATTCTCAGGACACCTCAAACTTTGTAGTCACAGCTCATATGCAACAGGGCGGCTGTGGCTCAGTTGGTAGAGTCGGTCGTCTCTCAACCAGAAGGTCGGGAGTTTGAGTCTCAGCTCCTGCAGCCACATGTTCGATGTGTCCTTGGGCAAGACACTTAACCCAGAAGTTGCTCCCACTGCTTTGGCGGCAGCGTGTGAAATAGTATGAATGGATGAGGATGTGCAGGTGTGACCTGAGATGTTAAAGCGCTTTTTGCATGTGCATAAATACATATGGACGACGCAGACTTTCAGGCAAAGGTTTAAGTGATTTTGAGGCACCTCACGTCCATCTGAACTCAGTACAGTATCGGATCATTTTCAGGGAACAGGCTGGTCCCCAATTGAAGCAGAACATGCGGAACATTTGATTCCGGTCACCAGACGGTCAATCGGTGCACCTCTTGTTGTTATTGCTCTGTAATTTTACTTTTTTTCTCTCCTAAAATCAGATCAGAAAACAGCAACTAGAAGAAAAACAGCTACATCAGGGTTTGAAAATCAAATTTTAATATAAAGAACTAAATGAAAGGCTTTTTAAAAATTACATTTCCCTGTGTTGTGCACTGCATGAGGACCCTAAACATTAAACCGCCATACTGTCCTGCTCAGCTCCCAGATCTACTGTAGCAGTGTAAATCACAGGACTTTATTTGTGCGGGCAGACATGTAGGTTATCCCAAAGCGATTGTTTCAGGCCAAACCAAGTGGAAAATCCAGTGCGGGTTTAGTTGTTTTGCTGCCTTGGCTGCAGGGATGCTGAGTGCTCTGGGTTCCAGCGCCCCCCCCCCCCCCCCCCTTTCTATCCCCCCCACCCCTTGTCATTTTTTAATCAGATGGCTTGTTCAGGAGTGGAGGGGATTAAGACTGCTGCTGCTGCCACTGCTGATGACTCCGTCCAGTTTTGGAGAACTCTCAGCTGCAAGCACGCACATACACAACAACACTAAACCTACTTTTAAACAGAGGCTGCTTTAGACTTGCTCATGGTCAGTTTGACGGACCAGGGATGAAACATTTCATCATATTTTTTTTTTTTTACAATCGTCATTTTAATTAGCTTTTTTTTTTTTTATGAAAATGAGATACGATCCACAGCTTTCACTGGATCAATCTCTCAACAAACGATGAAATCTCTTCTTCAGCCCCTTCTGTTTTGTGTTAGAATTAAAACGCCTTTAATGAAACGACCGCCTGATAAGAACCCACGACACTCGTCACTGTGGAGCTCAGTAATAGATTACTTTGGGTACTTTAGCATTCTATGGCCAATGCTTATCAAAAACTAATCATAGCGGTGGTGCACATGTTAGCGTTACTTTGTGCCACCATTGTCTTAAGAACATAAAAGATACGACAACTTTTTATATAGTCGGGTCAGCTGATGGGGGAATCTGGGCCTGAGGGGACATAGGGCTAAGGGAGCATACAGTAGAGCCAAGGGGACATAGAGATGAGGGAACATATAGGGCTAAGGGGACATAGGGCTGAGGAAACATACAGAAGGGCTAAGGGGACATAGGGATGAGGGGACATAGGGCTGAGGAAACATAGGGCTGAGGGGACATAGGGCTGAGGAAACATATAGGGCTAAGGGGACATAGGGCTGAGGAAACATAGGGCTAAGGGGGCACAGGGCTGAGGAAACATACAGAAGGGCTAAGGGGACATAGGGATGAGGGGACATAGGGCTGAGGAAACATAGGGCTGAGGGGACATAGGGCTGAGGAAACATATAGGGCTAAGGGGACATAGGGCTGAGGAAACATAGGGCTAAGGGGGCACAGGGCTGAGGGGACATAGGCCTGAGGGGACATAGGGCTGAGGGAACATAGGGTTAAGGCAACATTGGGCTGAGGGAACATAGGGCTAAGGGAACATAGGGCTGATAGGACATAGAGCTGAGGGAACATAGGGCTGAGGAAACATAGAGATGAGGGGACATAGGGCTGAGGAAACATAGGCCTGAGGGGACATAGGGCTGAGGGAACATAGGGTTAAGGCAACATTGGGCTGAGGGAACATAGGGCTAAGGGAACATAGGGCTGATAGGACATAGAGCTGAGGGAACATAGGGCTGAGGAAACATAGGCCTGAGGGGACATTGGGCTAAGGGAACATAGGGCTGATAGGACATAGGGCTGAGGGAACATAGGGCTAAGGGAACATAGGGCTAAGGGAACATAGGGCTGAGGGAACATTGGGCTAAGGGAACATAGGGCTAAGGGAACATAGGGCTGATAGGACATAGAGCTGAGGGAACATTGGGCTAAGGGAACATAGGGCTAAGGAACATAGGGCTGATAGGACATAGGGCTGAGGGAACATAGGGCTGATAGGACATAGGGCTGAGGGAACATAGGGCTGATAGGACATAGGGCTGAGGGAACATAGGGGCAGATCCCAATGTAACTAATGTTAAAGGAGACCTATTAAGCTTATCTGCATTTTAAAACATACATAATACTGTACTGAGCAAAGTTTCAAATCCTGAGGTACACGTACTGTATGTCAACATCAATGTTAAAGAAATCAGCAGTGGAGAAAATATTCCTTCAACACAACTTCTACATGTGCCAATCAGAGGTGATATACACGTACAGGGCTGCCTGCCTGTTGACGAGCAGCACCTCCACTCATATGTATACACATCAATAAAGAAAAGGCATACTTATATATTCAAGCAAAAGTGCACCTTACACATTCAAACTTCTCTCTCTCTCTCTCTCGCTCTCTCGCTCTCTCTCTCTCCTGCCTTTGTCTCTCGCTCAACACCGGCAGTTTCTGGACAGCAGCAGGGATCTGCCATGTCTCATTGTGTCATGTGATTGTAGCTGCGAGATCTCTGACACACAGGCTGACTGACGCCTGCCTCTCATAATGCCAGACACTGACACCAGGCGCTGCAGATGGCAGACCCCCACAGAGGGACAGACGGACAGACGGACGGACGGACGTAGGGAGAGTAAAAAAGGGGGAAAAAATTGAATGATTGGTAAGGAAGATTAAGTGACAGAAAAGATGAATGAGAAGAAAGGGAAAGGGCAGTAAAGAAATGAGAGATTAGAAACTGCAAATATAACAAGTTTGAAAGACGTAGGAAAGGAAAGGGAGGAGAGGGAGACACAGATAGAGAGCGAGGTAAGGATGAAAGGATAGAGACATCGAGCTGTATGTTGACCCAACACTCTGTGCAACATAGCCAGGAGATAACACCAGTCAGTCTCCTCCCACTTTAATCTCCCCATCATCCATCAATCCCATTGCCCTACCCTTCCACCCCGTCTATCTTAAAGCCAGTCATTCCTTTTTCCATCAATCCCAAATCATGGCGCTCGTTTGATGTACATTTGGAAAAGAAAATCCTTGATTGGAGTGTTTTCTTTTTTTTCTCTTTTTCAGATTGTGTAAGGGCTTAAAAAGAAAAAGAGAAATAGGCGAGGCGGTTGCTTACTTACTTACTCTCAGGATGAAGAAGTGAACTTCAGAAGGCGACTGATGTTTTAACGGGCAAATGTTTGCACTAAGTTGAGAATTCATCGTCTTCTTTTGCGAACACGCACACACACACACACACACACACACACACACACATCAAAACACACCTCGGGCGATGAGTGTTTGGTCCTAATGAAGCGAGGGAAGAAGAAGGCAGCTGCAGAACTGGAGTATAAGGCCTGGAGGGAGCTCACGCACTCCTAGGTCTCTGTGTGTGTGTGTGTGTGTGTGTGTGTGTGTGTGTGTGTGTGTGTGTGTGTGTGTGTGTGTGTGTGTGTGTGTGTGTGTGTGTGTGTGTGTGTGTGTGTGTGTGTGTGTGAGAACAGACGATGTAATATCTGAAACTTTCTTCATCTAAGTGAATGCCTTGTTCGCTCTCTCTCTCTCTCTCTCTCTTCAGGTTGTGAGGGCCTGCTCCTATCGTCCTGTCGTTCAGTGAGGCAGTGAGCTCACGGTGGATACAGCATGCATGTGTCGAAATATCCCATGATGCACTCTGCCAACCCGGGACTGCTACTCCTCAGCTTCCTCTTCCTCGCCGATGCCGACTGTGAGTCCTGAAAACATGACATGTGTTTTTGGATGTTTGTACATGTGAACACAGGCACACACAGGGTTTGGAATGACCTGATTTTCCTCTTACAATCCACTCCTGATATCACATCCCGGCTCCCTGTGTGTGTGTGTGTGTGTGTGTGTGTGTGTGTGTGTGTGTGTGTGTGTGTGTGAGCGTGAGTGTGTGTTATGTAGCAGGTTTGATATGAGGCCAGCTGTTTTTGTCCATCCCAGTATTACTTGGCATGGAAAGACGGACCACATATGGCAAATCAGATAATTTTCCCCCCCTGCTTGTGTGATCGTGTCCAAAGTGTGTGTGTGTGTGTGTGTGTGTGTGTGTGTGTGTGTGCGTGTGTGTGTGTGATCCCTGATTGCGGCTTGTCCAGTGTACTTCTCTGTGAAAGTGCGTAGTTGCAAATTAGTACTTTGGCCATAAGTTTTAATTACAACTGCAACTACTGGTTAATTTTCAATATTGATTATTTTCATTTGATCTAAATTTGTGAAATTGTTAAATTGAATTAATTATCCTTATTTATAAATGTTTCCAAAATGACTTTAATTTGAGCAGTGGTGGCTGGTGCATTATTCTCCAGGAGGGAGAGTCTGTTAGCTTGATGCTAACACGTAATGGAAATCGTTGTTAACGGGCTAACCGAATTAGCATGTGGATCATGGTCATTATAACTTAAGAAACAAACTTTTACCTGACATTGTTAGGTATAATAGAATTTAGAACTCCTCTCTTAGCATCTCCTCAGTCGGTATTTGAACATATGTCTCACTGGTCAAAACTTAGCGTCCCTGTGGCATGAGGGAATTTAGCCCAAATGATCACCAAACCAAGGGGCCATGACACCTGTAACTCATTTACACTCCAGAAGTGAATGGAAGAAGATGCTACAGGGCTTTAAGAAATCATTTCCATTTGGAGATACCGCGTGCTTTCATTGTAATCGTTTGATTGCTACTCTTGATTCCACCAAAATTTAAAAAAAAATTGAAATATTTGAAGAGAAGTTCTCTTTCTTGGTCCCTGTTTGGGTCAAATGTTATGTTCAAAATGCAATGCAGCCACCCGCCACTAGCTGAGGCTGCCAATATCTGTTGCCTAGGGCTTCTGTTGTTGCCGTGGTATTTAAACAGGTACTGCTACAGTTTGATTTTTTGTGGTATTGTATGAAGCTTAGAAATCTGGTATTGTTACAACCCTACTCTGTACCTATCTGTTCTCTACTCCTTTCACCGTTGTGTCTTGCTTTTTGGTAAATCTTCCTTTTAATCTTAAAATAGTTTTAACTTGTTTTTAGCGATGCATCTTTGTGTGGCTTACTGCCACGATGAGAAAAGCTGCAAAAGTTTTAACATGAGAATATAACTTTGCAAACTTAAAGATTCATTAGCAGGGTACTATGGATGTCTCACCATCCTCAGTCTGACGGTCTATACCTCTGTGACAGAAAGTTCATTCCAAGCACGATTTCTCCTTCAACTTGTGAGGCCGATGTCCAAACATTAGGCTTTATATCTCATAACAAAGGTGATGAAAATGTCTGATTTGAGCTGAGACTATGGGGAAAAAGATGTGAATCAGAAGTGTTGTGTGCGGGAGGACGGAAAGAAAGAACGGACGGACTGAGAAAGAATAATGAAAAAGAAAGAATGCGCTGTCGAGCTCATCGAGCAGAATGTTAAACATCCGAGAGTCAAGCTTTCAGAGACATCTGCGACAATTGAGCGTGGCGTTATTTTTGATTGAATATTTAAAAACTTTGGTTCTGTGCATTTAAATTCGTCCCAGCAGCCGTGGCAAAACAAATATTTATAAACTAGATCAGACATGCGGCATGAACAGTCTGTTGCAGAGCAGCTTCTGGATTGTATGATGCTGAACATGTATCATCATCACCTCTTATTGCACACACACACACACACACACACACACACACACACACACACACACACACACACACACACACACACACACACACACACACACAGGCTGGAGGCGGTCATTCTCATCCTTCTACTGTACGTTTTTTAAACGACATCATAACACATAGGCCACTGAAAGCGCACACACATATCCACATAGTGCTCTTGTTTCCCTCTCAGCCTCATGCCCTCTCGTCCCCTGTGTAACTTTCAGGGTCGGCCAGTAAAAGGCCCAGTCATCCATCAAAACGACGATGCTCCCAGTCTCCCTCTGTGCCGGTTACGGGGAGCAGCGAGGTTGCAAAAAGGATTCATACTCTCCTCTATACGTCTATACGTTTCTCCTTCTCCTCCCACCGCCTCATTTGCTGCGACTCTCTCCAGCGTTTGCTCTTTTTCCTCCCGTTGCTCGCTCGCTCTCTGCCTCTTCTCAGCACATCCATGTAATCTGGCCAGAAAGGAGGGATAGACGACTGGAGTGGGGGGGGGGGAGGAAAAAGGCTGTTCTTTTCTGTTTTTGTCTCATTGTGCATGACATACAATGCCTCCTTTAATATCAACAGTGGGGACTCAGAGATTTGAATGTTGAGAATTCAAACAGAAGCTGCTGCCGGGAGACGCTGACGTCTTTGGCGCGACGTCTCGTGTCGGCATGTTTTGAAAAATGTTAAATGCGCTCTGAAATATTGCTTCCAGTTGTGTTGAGCGTCTCTCAAACTAAAATGAATGGAAACACATTTTTTCAACACAGAGCTTTACAAAATAGAGACAGTTTATTTTACTCCTCTGCGCCTGGACAAGACTTTAGAAACACACATGATTTCTACAGAACCCATTAACACAAGAGTGCACTGAGAGTATTAGGACGCAATCTGATGGAACAATATCCCATGTGCATGGTTGGAAATCTTGCATGACACTGCACCATATGTGCACCCTGCACACAAGTACCGGCCTCACAATAAAAGCACTAAACTCTGCGTGTGGATGCATTTATTTATTTTTTTCAATTCCACATCCACCTCTTTTTACGCTTTCTTTTTTTTTTTTCCTTCCTCTTCCTCGCCACCAAATTTGTTTCTCCGTGTATTTGTGTGTGCGTGTGCGTGCATATGACATCTATCTGGTGGATTAAGAGTAATGCCCTGATCCTGTCGCAAACTAGGCCACTGCTCCGTGTACGCAGTGAGATGCCCCTGTGTGGGAAACCACATCCCCTACGCATGTCATTCAGGGCGGGCGGGCGGGCGGGGGGAAACAATGCAACAACAGGGTTCTTTTCTGCTGACCCTCGTTTGCCCCAAAAACAACAAGCTGTCGTCCTCCACCCTCGCGGCTCGGATGTAGCAATAAAAAATTCCAGCTGAAACAAAACTCCTTGTGTGAGTGTGAGTGTGTGTGTGTGTGTGTGTGTGTGTGTGTGTGTGTGTGTGTGTGTGTGTGTGTGTGCAACACGACAAAACAGCTCCTTTAGCAGAGGCTACTGTAGGGGAAGCGATGCTGAGTTGCAGCCCCCTTTGCTTCAGTGAGCAGACTGTACGTTTTGAAAAGCAAGAAGCAGTGGGTTTAGGCTCCTGCAGAGGGTGGGCTCTTCATAATGTGTAACTCCTTAGCCTCAGTTTGCAGCATGTCAATTATGTTTCTGGAAAAGCTTTGCACTTCCCCTTCATTTTTCTCCCCCACAAAACTGATGTGAAAATGAAAATCACATAGAACCTGCAACATGGCATTTTCATACATGGCATTTCCGAGTGCACTGAAAACACAGAACTTGCTTGCGTGACTGATTAACCTGTCAACATTTTGGTCATGTTTCCAGCGCTCGCATGTCCTTGAGGCTGGCCCCCGAATCTAATAAAAGGTGGTTGGGTCATTCTCCCCACAATGACAGCACCGCTGCTTGTGCGTGCTCTGGAGCTCCTTGAGCGAGTGAATGAACACCAAAGGGCTCGGGCAGGAGACTTTGGTTTACCTGCGAGTACTTCATTCATCTTTCCCCTCAGGGTTCTAAGTTCAAGGCGTCTGAGTTCCTATGAAAAGCAATGAGTTACTGCCTCACACCTGCACACAAAGCCATAAACAGCAGAGTTATAGAGGCACTGCTTCTTTTATTTATACAGGTTGTAGAAGATACACTTTCTGAGGATACAGTGTGTGATGTGATTTATTACACAACACACCAAGATATCTGATTGGACAAGAGGCTCTCCATAAGTGATGATGTATCTCTGGGACTTTTAAGGCTTAGAGTGTGTATCCCTCCTCTTAAGCCAGGAGTAATGAATACCTTTAATTTACTGTTCATCTGACAGTGTTTTTCTCTAAAGCCGTTTTCACATCTGCACTCCAGAAAATATCTAGAGGACTGCTCCGAGGATTCTCCTGACCTCTAAGCAACAGAGTCCGCTACACGATGCTATAATGAGAATATTTGTCTTTATAGCAATGCTATGTGTAATCCAACGGAATGACAACATGCAGCCGTTTAATTATGTGCATGAAGATTGCAGTCACAGTATAGAAACCTCACTCCCCCCTCCCATTGGCTCGAGGTGAATTCTCCGCAGAATATCCTGCTGCATTCTCAGAACAGCCCACTCGGACTTGCTGCAGAAAAAAAATTCTAAAGGTCTGTCAGGAGAAAACAATCCGGGTGAAGTCCAAGCGACAAATGTGGCTGTTTGTGTTCACATATGCAGCTGAGGAGATTTCTGTAAGTGTGAAAGCCCTTTAGGACTGCCCCTGAAATCCTCCTGATCTCTCAAACACATGCACCTCACGCTGGGAGACTATGGGGGGGGGGGGTCTCCTAAGGCAAGACATGATGTAAAACAAGGTCCGCTGTACGACACTATAATGAGCGAACAGAGAGCACGCACACACACACACACACAGCCTTTTGTTGACTTGAGGTTTTGTGCTTTGTGGCACATGCATGTGTGTGTGTGTGTCCATGTTTGTAATTGTCAGCTTTATATCCATATGTATACCAGCATGTGTGGCGCTAAGATCAGACGGGAGATTAGATAGAGATGAGTGAATCCAGTTCCGTGCGAG